GAGATTGCAAGCATGTCAGCGCACGTGCTCATGGACCTTTTTGAGCCGAGCCCCGCCCCCAGTGGTACTTCCTCATGTGTTGCTAGTCCATTGTCTGTTCATGTCTTTGTCTGTGTTCCTGATTCCTGTGTTTAGTTTGATTATTGGAGTTGGTTTTTCACTTGGACTTTTATTTTATCATCATGAAACCATTATTTTTTGGCATTCCGGCATTTCGAGTCCTCATTTATCTCACCATCTGACAAACAAACTAATCTCAACTCATTTCTACCTTTCTTTCTTGTTCAGCTCTTTGGGTTGCCTTGTGTTTGAAATGTGCAATACAAATAAACTTGCCTATAGCTCTATGGCTTTGGTTTGAAACTCACATACCTCAGCTTTAATCCAGATGAGACGTGTTAAATCGCTGGACAAAGTGTGTCTGTGTCGCTCCGAGGAGGTTATTTGAGGAGCGCACGCAGACAGTCATTTTCTCAGCACTGTTTATTTTGTCCTTCACACTGTGGCAATATGTTGGAGCCAGTAATATAGTGTGCAACAGTGAGCCAGTGTGTTTGGTGTTTGCTGGAGGAGTAAACTGCTCTCCTCGTCCTGTGTGAATAGGTCAAAAACATAAATATGAAAGTTTCCCTGCTGGCTCAGCGGGCTCCAGTCTATCGATCAGCTCTCCACAGCTGCGACCGCACTCCATTACTTTGGCTCGACATGTGAAGTCACGACATGAAATTTTGCTTTAAAAATGTAAGTGGATCAACATGATTTCTGCGGTGCATCCACAGACTCGGGTGGAAACGGATTTTCATTTTAAATTCTGTTTTAAATTGCTTTCTGAATTGGATAAATTATGGGTCATGAAGCTAAACCTCCACTCCATCCATTTCCAGTGAGAAATGATGGTGGTGGTAACCCAGGGAGATATGAATGAGGGATGGGGGAGTGGGGACTAAACCTAACTCGAGTAAAATTGAAGAAAAAAATGAAAATATGCACACAATTAAAGAGGCAAAACTGTAAAATGACATCCTATTGGATTTGCTCAACTATGAATATGTGCATTTAAGTTTTGTTTCTTTAGTAAATACTTCTAATGTTTGGTAGTTTACCTGAAAGGTGTTCTCAAAATGAATATTTAAACTCTGCAAATAAAAATATTGTTCAAAGGTCCATTTACTTCTGTAATTTAATTTACAATACAACTATTTATGACAGAGTCAATACACGCAAAGTGAGATATATCAAGTATTTATTTGTTACAATGTTTTTCATTAACTCATAGCTTGAAAAATCCCAATAAAAACCTCTCAGATTATTGAAACATGTTGATAATGGACTTTATGATAAAAACATCTAAATTATAACAAAGGCTGTGCATTCAATGAGTCTAAATTATATATTACATATTAGTTGCACACAAGTTGAATTACAGAAATAAATGAACTTAGGAAATATATTATTTTTACCTGTCCCAACTTATAATAAAATCATTCAACCAAAGTATTAGGCAATCACAAAAGCATTATTTTTCAGTTTGAAAGTTTTATGGCATTAGGAAAAGTAAACCACCTGTTCAAAACTGCCCACATTTGGGTTTATTTTGGTCCATATGTACATTGTTGTTAATAATAAATAAATTGTTATAGTGTTTATTTTTGGTGAAGTAAATCATCACAAATAACAAATTACAAAGAACCATTTTTTAATGTATCCTAATTCTTACAGAACCAGTTTGTTTTCCGACAGTTAAACAAACAAAAATCCATCAAGTTTGGTTGAATTAGAATAGAGAGATACCAGTAATATGGCAGTAACTGTGGAAATAACATTTCTTAGGTTTGTTTTTAATGTAAGTATTTTAATCAAGTTCACCCAGCTCCTGTGACAGTGATACCCAAGTGTTTGTTACCCCTGAGTCCTGACTATGAACCATTTATAGTTCTTCGTTCTATTAGAAGATATGAAAACGTGATAATTCTACATATTTCAGTATGCAGGATTAATAAAATGTCTAGTCTTTCTTCATGAATATGTGACGTAATACAGCATGTGGATACAATGTGTCAATGCAAGACACGTGTATCACTGCAGTGACCTCAAGTGGCAGGATTTGGTTACTACAGGATGGGGGAAAAGTGAGAGACATAAAACAGCAATTCAGTTCATGGGACTGACTCAAAGGCACGACGTTGATTGGATCGGACAGATGCTATATAGGGGAGTGCACTCTAAGTTTTGAGAATTTTTCCAAATATAATCTTCAATATGGTTAGTTATTGGCTGTAAATTTGATAGAATTTGCTCAAAAATGGGTGATACTTTATTAATATGACCCAAGATTGATCTGGCTGGTTACAAAACGACTTGGTAAAGGGCAATTTGCATTGTTTTTCTAATGTCACTTGTCAGTTTTTTCAAATGAAGTAGTCTTATAAAATGGGGGATCCAAACCAGGAGTCGCCAACCTTTAGTCCCCTAATAAGATACTTTTTTGGACCATTAAAAGGCAAAGAGCTACTCATAACATAACAAATGTCACTAAGAAACTAGACCAAACTAGGCAAAGTCTAATATCCACATCTTACTGCTGAGTTACATAACTTTCAAATCACCAGGTATCAATGTAATAAAATCCACTGAACTAGACCCTCACTCTCAAAACTGGCTTTAGTTTTCAGATGCATGTATTTTTGGCCACGTTCAAATCTCTCAATCTGCATCCAACAATGATCTAACAGTGCTCAGTCTTACACGTACGAAAAAACTCAAATGTTTTCTAATTAAAGGAAGACAACTCATCAGTATGATTTGTTCAGAACATCTGACTTTTAGAAGGCCCTTTCTAGTGAATCAAAAATAATACAGAATTTATGAAGAAAAATATTCAACAACAAAAAATCCCCCAGCTTCAGGTCCAGCTCCACGTTCACTTAATGTACCTATAGGTAGATTTGTCTTTCAGTAAACACACCATCTCACTCAACTTTGCTTAAAGAATTTCTGCACATAACTTTTATTATGGTGACAACCGATGCATCCCTTCATTCGCGGTGGAAACTCCAGCTTGCCTTAGCAACCATCTTAGCAACACATCTGCGCCTGTTACGCCACGAAACTATAACGCTGTCGGAACAAATGCACATATAAGGAAAATGGCACCAGCTAGCTTATGTTCAAATCGGCTTCTCCAGCATTTTGCAAACACTATGGTGACGTCAGCACTCGGCCAGTTCACTCGGTGGGGACAGACTAGTGCAGCTGCTGATTTGCGCTTAGTAACTCCCCCAATGCTGCCAAAAAAAATTCCTACATCTGGGGGTCCACATTCCCCGCACAAATAGGCCTGTTCAAGCCACCTTAATTGGCCTCTTCCGCATTAGACTAATACATAAAATGCTGGACCGAGGGGGAAAAAAGTCATTTATTCTGTCACTCAAGCAGGTAGCGGACACAGAATGGTTACATATTCCACTTGTAATTATTCGTCTCCCTTGCTGGCTTTGCTGTATTATGTCATCTAAGCCACACATAGCTGTCTGTGGGTGCAGGCGGAGGCTCTATTGCTTTATTGGGGCTGGTGCTTGGGGCAGCGGAACGCCTTGGCACCGCTCATTAATCAAGAGGGTGAGGTGATGCCACAGCAGGATCGGAAACGGCGCCCCCCCTCCTCCCCAGATGAACTATAGTGCCTTCATCAGCTGCACCACGTCCGGAGCGCAGGAGTAAGTGAGACGGATGGCAGCCCTGTCCGATACCTTCTCCAGTCAAATGAAAGTCTGGTCAGGCTGGGGTTGAATTGGCTCAGGTAATGAAATAATGATCAAGGTTTTTAAAGGTTTCTTCAAAGTAAAATTCAAGTCTTTTTCAGACCTGTTATAAGAACATTTACAGTATACTCTTTCACAAACCTATCAGCAAAGACAAACTTAATTTACTCATCAATCCTCTGCTTGGATTGTTGCTTGTGGTCTTGTCTGTGTTCTAGCTCCTCAAAGCACCTCCTTATCAACGCGAGGAATCCTAAGGCCCCGTTTAGACAGAGACGCTGCAAAGCAATTAATAAAACCACCAGGCTCCTGCGTAGGGTTTAGACAACGCCTGAAAACGATGTAGTTCTAGCCCCCAGCCTAGTGTGCAGTCCCCTGGCAGAGGCCCTCTTCAAGAAGGGCCAGAGCTGACTCTACCTGCTGAGGAGGCTCAGGAGTTTTGGAGTGCAGGGGCCACTCCTGAAGACCCTCTATGACTCTGTGGTGGCATCAGCCTCTTGTACGGTGTGGTCTGCATCACAGCAGACCACAGAGAAGAAGAAGCTGGACAAGGTCATCAGGAGGTCCAGCTCTGTCCTGGGCTGTTCCCTGGACACAGTGCAGCAGGAGGGTCCGGGACAAACTGACATCTATGCTGGACCATGACTATCACCCTCTGCAGGACTCCACTGCCCACTACTGATCAGGAGCTAGAACTACATGGTTACCCGTTGTCGGGTAAACGCTGTGCACTTCAAATAATGAGCTTGGTTGTTTTTGCTAATTGCTTCGCAGCATCTGAGTCTAAACGGGGCCTCAGATAGGTAGGTAGATACTTGCAACAGCCTAATGCAGTGCTGATAAACCCCTTGGGGTCCCCTCTGATGATCTGGAGGAAGTGTGTGTGTATAGGCAAGTCTGGGCGTCTCTGCTTAGACTGCTGCCCCCGCGACCCGGCAATGGATGAAGGGGAAGAAAATGGATGGATGGATGGATAATAAACCCTCTATACTTTTTTCATTTTTAAACAATAAGTTACAAACACTTTGAATTAATCTGTGCAATGAATGGATATTATTTCAACATAGGACAAATACAAGGTTCCAGGATTTTTATAATAAATTAATACAAAATAAGAAATACATTGTTACATTTTACAGTATAAAGGGTGTTCAGTGACTTCCCAGTTATGTGGAAGTTTTGAAATGTCCAAAGTGAACAACTATTACACTGTACTAAGAAAAAGACTGATATTTAAAGTCACGGTACAATGCTGGTGGCCCTTCTGAGGGTCAGATAACCGGTCACCACATCGGAGGGCAGCAGGCGGATATACGAAAACTCCTCTTTCGACGTGAAGCGCAACTTTGTCTGAGGGTCTGTGTAGTTGGCCTGAAAACAAACACAACATAATGTGAAAAAATTTATTTACAAGCCAACAAAGACAATAACCGATACAGGGTGATATTAAAAAGGACTTTCTGAAGCAGCCCCGCAGACTTGAGTTTGACTATTTTTGTTCATAATATCGGTCTATCGTGCCACATATAAATGCAATTAACCTCAAGTCTGCGTAGTTGAGGAGGGCAGAACTCTGAAAACTAATTTCAAAAGTCCTGTTTTTTTCCAGCGCAATGACGCAACTCCACCATACACAATCCTACTGTAGTATTTTGGGTAGAAATCTGCTGCTGTAGTGCTGAAACAAGTTAATTGACTGCATTATTGAATTGGTGGGTCAACTAATTTAGTAATCGATTATTGTTTTTTGAACCTCACAAAGACTTAAACATGCTGAGGTTTTCTAACCCCGATACTTTTATAACAACTGCAGAAATAAATGAAAATGTATTTACAAAGTATTAATAAAATAACCCAATATGAAACAAGTCTTCTCCAAAAGATATTCTCCAAGGGCATCCCTTTGTCACAGCTTTGTTTTGATCAAAATGTGTAAAAATTTCAAAGTGTTATAGAACCTTTACAACTAATCGATAAAAAATAAAAAAATCTATCGAAATAATAAATTGTCCAACAAATCGAGCATCAAAAGAATCATTCATTACAGTGTTAACATGCTTACTATTCATTTTTGCAACAGAAATGACTACTATATATACATTTGGTTTTATTGTATCTATTTGATTTTTATCCATAAGGCCATCTCCTATTTACAAGTGAATTGTTTATGAAAGAATACAATTTGAACTTGATCGTTACAACTTGATTACTTACAGGGAGTCCGGAGATGTCAGAGTATTTCTTAGCTGGCTTCAGAGAGGGAGGGGCATCTATGTTAAAATCTGTTAACAGAATAATTACATTAAGCAACATACATATGGTAACAACAATATAAGATCCATACAGGCCACACTCACAGTTTGGATCATTGACTTTCCATGGTAGAGTCTTCTCCAGTGCTAAAATCTGTTTGAGATTCTTCCATGTCCTGTTCTTTTTGCCTGCTGCTGCTCCCCCAATGCCTGAATGCTGCAACACACAACAGTCCGAGCAGTTGTTATGAGAGGATATATAGTAGGGCTGAATACGTACTTACAATATTTCAGATTAAGATTGCGATCAGATTTGCAATTTATGTTTTATTAGTTGTACATTGGTTATGGTCACGTTGGTCGTTCGTATAGAATGAATGAGAAAAACCTGAGAATGCGTTTGAGAACATACATTCTAGACCAGGCCCAGGGGTTCCAAAACTATTTAAGCAGATATCCCGAAATAAGCATTAAACTAACTAATTACACCCACTGCAAAATGAAACTGAAGGCAGTAATAGGAGTCCTGGTAGTACATGACCGGAACACCTCCCAAGGACACCTCCAAAACAGATACCCGAGCCACCTCAACTGGATCCTCTGGACGTGGAGAAGCAGGTCTACTTCGAGCTCGTTACATGAAACTGAGCTCCTTGCCCTAAGGAGCGCCCAGCCACTCTGCGAGGTAAACTAATTTTGACTCCTTGTATCTGCAATCTCGGACCAAAGGCTAGGGTTAGAATGCTGATTCACCATCAAGAGCTTTGCCTTTGGACTCAGCTCCTTCTTCACCACAACGGTCTGATACAGCATCATTTCACACGCTGCACCAATCCGTCTGTCGATGTCCCGCTCCATCCTTTCCTCACTTATGAACAAGACCCTGAGATATTTGAACTCCTCCACTTGTAGAAAGACATGACACTTGTCATTTAAAAAAAAAAAAAATTATACTTGTTTCAGAACATTCATTGCATCTTCAAGGTTATATAAAGGTAATGCAATACATATAATTACATTACCTTTTAAATTATTGAGGATTTCAGTCAGTTTGCAATTGTAGTAAAAGGGTAAATTAAATGTTTGAGTGCCTAGATAATACATGTTTTTGTACAGAAAAAGATATTAAATAAAGTATTACGTGAAATATCCATCAATGCACAACAATTGATTGCATATGCAAAATAGATCAATAATCTGATTCTTCTTTTGTTATTGGGTTGTTGTTACTCCATGCCATCTACATGGACATACACATTAAATAAAGACAAAAATAATTATTGCGTGATCTCACCGTAAAGTTGGGGTCTTTAAACGGTGGGGGCTTCGCTGTGGACTCTGAGAGGGAACTTGAAGCATCATCATCAGCGACCGCCTCCACTGTTGTTACCTTGTAAATGATTGTAAATATTGGTCGATTATCAAATAATTATAATCCTGACAAGAAATATGGCATTTTACTTGTGGTGGAGCAGTGGAGGACGGAGCTATCGGAGTGGATTTCTTTTTCTTGCTGCTGCCATTCTGTCCACTTTGGCTGGGTCCACTCGCAGCCGCAGATCCAGGGCGTTTTTTCTGGCGTGGAGCGGAGATACTGGCAGCTGTGGACGGTCCTTTGATTGTTATCGTGGCCTGGGACGCCATCTCCACGTTATAACCACAATAAAGTCTGTTTTATGGATGAATCGACGCGCCTCTACAAGATGTAAACAAACGCCTCAAAACCCGGAAGTGAACCCTAAACATTTCCGTTGCGTAATTTCCCTCACCCAAAATATGTTACGAAAAATACAACATAATTAAATCAAAGTTAGTAACGAAAGTTATTGTTTATATTATCTTATATTTTGAGTTATTTAAGCATAACAAAAACAAGAAAAAAGGTATTTGAAAAAAAAAATCTCACACAAAACAGACATTCGTGTTCAAATATGAATGCAAAATAAATGCATGTGGACTAATTCATGCAGGTAAAGCATGATTTGTAAATCAATAACTTGTGCGTTTGTTTATTTATTTATTTGATGGGGACAATGCACATTAAAATATGAATGTAAATATGACGGGATATAAGGTAGTTTTCATCCGCAGTCCCTAGGCAGGAAAATACATAGGACATGACAACATACAATACAATAAAATAAGGAAAAGTTAAGAGTCTAGTGGTCACATGACTGGTTTCTTTTCTGCCATTGTTCGAGTTGAGTTGAGTCTTAATGGTGACTGGTGTAAGACTCTCTCGTATGCGCAGAGGGAGACTTTTCCAGATGTTCATGGCCCTCATAGACACAGTATTCTGACCAAAGGCAGGTTTTCTGAAGTGACCTCACAGTCTCCTCTGGAGGAGGCCCTACTTCTCAGACCACTTGAAGTCCTATAGGTTTGAACAAGACCGATACAGGAGGTGGGACTAGTCCATGTAGCGCTTTGTAAATGAAGCATAAATAGCATACACACAGTTGATGAAACGTTCAAAATTTAAAAGATTGTACTTGTTTAGAATTTTGCATGCATGAAATGAATTGGGTTTTCTGTCAAAAACGTTAAAAGATTTCTTATACAGAGATTCAATTATTTTCAAATTGGTCAAAGACCAAATTGTGATGCAATATTCAATATGGGATAAGATCATTGAGTGGAGAAACATTTTAGCTGCACTAAGTGTTAAAAAAGCCTGATTTCTTTAACATTTTTAAGGTTGATAATAACAGTGTAGGCATTTTTTCAGACAAGTGTCAGACCTAGATATTTGAATTCTATGACATGTTGTAGTTCTTCTCCTCTCAAGAAAACTCCAGAATGTGTCATCACTTTTCGCATTGCAAATGCAAAAATGCAACTATGAGAAAACAGTCCTATACGGGACAACACACTCACAGAATGATGGATTGATGTTCTACAAAGTGAGTGCTATTCAACTTAGACAAACCATGACAACCTTGTGTTCATTATTCTGGTTATAACAGATGGAGTCATTTATCTTCCTCATTGGGATTTTTTATAGACACATTCAATAATTATTCAGTTAAATTGCAGACACTAGTGTGCTGCTGCCCTCTTGTGTCCAAAATGTGTCAACACCCACAAGAATGACAGTTATCTTCACATGATGATTAGGATTTTTGTCTTCACGTTTGTCATTTGTTGTATACAACATATTGACATCATTATAGCATTATATTTATAAAGCAATTGGTTGAAAATTAGTTGAAAAACAGCATCCTTGTGAAGTGTTGGTTTGGGTCAGATGCAGAGGACCTATGGACAATAAAGTGTTTTTTACTTTCTATAAATACATTGGTTGGAACAATTAGTCTGGTATAGTCTGATGCGTTCTTTATTTGGTGGGAATCGGCAAACTAGATTGGCCATAATTTGGACAATGACGGATATAGATTGGTTGAAAACACAACCATTTAAAGATTGATTGTTCTATCCACAAGATCGGTTGGACACATATCAACTAGACTAAACTTGAAATTAGTTTAGACTAGTCTTGAAATTCAACATAAATGTAATTATTACATTATTATTACACTTTGCACAGTATTTTTTATGAGTATATGTATATTACTATAGTGACATATCCTTATAGTTATAAAACAAAAAAATCGTGAAAATGAGAGAGCCTTGGACCTTTTCCTCTTTGCCCTTCATCATATTTTCCCACGGATCCTTGATTAGCGCGCTCTCACTTTAGTTCAACATGTTTTGATCCCTGAAGCACTTGTTCCTCATGTAATTTCGAGTCATATGACTTTTCTTTTTGACTATTTGAAGTCTGCTCGCAGTCAGAAAGCATTATGGGCAGTGAACCTGTTTTGATCATGGCGTTCCCAAACAAGAGATGTATATAATTTTTAACTTTCCCAAAAATTGCAAGTATATGTTTTGTTGTAAAAAATAAGCTAAAAGAAAATCCTCAGAGGACATGGGTATCCTTTATTAGTCTGTTTAAAATGGGAACTTGAACTACAATTTATTTTTGTTCCGTTCTGTTTTTTTAGCATTTCCTTTGCATATTAACATATATATCTCACATAATATATCAATCTAATACTGTGCATTAAAGTGTTCTGTACTTTCTGTTGGATTGCTCTACTGTATAAAATCGTGAAAACCCAATAAACAGAATGTAAGAAAAACAAACAAACAAAACAAAACAAATCCACACAAATAATGCATGATGCTCCGTGAAACAGGTGATGCAAATGCAGTGTTTTGACAGGTCACATCTTGGAGGGAGGAGTTCTCTGCAGATCTGTGTTCCACTGGGGTTAGTCCTGTCAGTGTGGAGACGTGTCAGCAGAAGATAAGGATCTGCCACAAGTGAATTCAACACGATGCCCACTGAACCCCTGCGGATACACCTCGTGAACCCAGAGCTATCCACACAGACAAAACCTTTCTGCTGTCCTCTGAAAGACCACTGCCCACTGGGAAAAGCTGATCCACAAGAAGGACTTTCCAAATGTCTCATCCATTTTTCAGCACTTGTGCGCGGCGGCGGCGGCTCCTGCTTGAATAAAGCATGTTTAACGAGTGATGGAGCTCAGTAGCAAACATGAATACATTTTTTATTAAAGTTAAACAATGAACTCTAACTGGGGTTCAGGGACCACACAATATTTATCAGTAGTCAAGGAGTCTGACAACAAACTTGTTTCAGTAGGTAGTGTTCATGTTGTAGAGTATATCAGTTGGAGGGAATGTACCAATAAACTCTGAGAAATAAGGCTTCATTAAAAGAAATGTTGACAAAGAAAATGTCCAAATGTTTTCCCAGAAGATAATTTGATTGTGAAACATCAAATTACAAACTTGCCACAACATTATTTATCTGCAAGTCCTTTCTATGGTAAACATCATGGATATATATATATATTTTTTTATTACTGTCCCCACCTCTACACGCTGAGATTGATATTATGTACTGACAAATTATAGTTTGTCACTGACAAATAAGACCAGTTTTTGTTTTAAGTGTCTGGTTTAGGGATTACAGCAAAATTCTAAGATGAGAAGTTAATTGACTTTTGACTTTACAGAAAGCCCGAATAATTTGTGGGAGAAAGTGTTACAACATTATAATAATTAAATAAATTCCATTTACATTTACAACGAGAAATATAAATGCTTGGAGGAATGCTATCAGGCCTATATTCCATAAGTCTCAATTGTTCCCATGCTAAACACAGAGTATCTACATAAAGTAATAGTAATAAATTAATCAAATGTGCACTTTTTAGAATTCTTTGGAAGCCTCCGCCAGCCTATAGCAGTCTTCATGGAGATGATGTCAAACTCTGGAACTCTGGCTGATAACTTTATCAGTGCAGTGACAGGCGGACCTGGATGTAAGTCTGTGGTAAGAATGATAATGCTAATGCCAATTCTATTATACTTAACGTTTATGGCTGAAAATTAAACCAAATTAAATGCATATTATTTGGTCCATACATTCTATTTCTTTTATATCATTCTTCACATTTGTTTTATTCAGAATGACTATATGCGTGGAAAGTGTTATTGTGGGGAGATACTTGAATCAGCGCTATTCTACCACAGGCTTGATTGATTGATTGATTGATGTTCCCTCTTCTGTTCTGTGAGACGGTCCAATGTGATCACAGGATCTGTTCCGGGTCTGGGTGAGGGAGGGCTGATCGGTGATGCTGTGTGGCCGGGGCTGTGTGCACATCAGCACAGCGGCTCCTCTCTCCCCTCTCTCCCCTCTCTCCCCTCTCTCCCCTCTCCGCTCTTCCTCTCTTCACTCTCCGCAGACACAGCAGAGGCTGGACGGCGGTGGCTCCGGACTCTCCACTTGAGCCGAGGACAGGGTCTCCTCTGCGGGTGAATGGATGTATCGTAGCGCGGCAGAGGACTGTGGACTGAGCGCTGGTCGCTGTGCACTAAATAAAACCTTGACTTTGACGGCGCTTTGGATTTCAGGGAGACCGGTTCGTCTCGACGACAGAGCGGGTACCACACTCCCCCCTCTGTCGTTAGCCCTGTAAGCTAGCAGCTAGCCCGCTAACTTAGCAGTGATACTTTGCACCGCAGTCGCTGTTTGCGGCTGCTCGCTGCGGATCTGGGGGCGCCCGTCACTTTCGGTAAGTACACTGAGTCTTTTACCTGTCCTGGTTTTATAACGCACTCAGCTTCAGATCTGCGCTGGTTTGTGGCCGATGGAAGAGTATCATTATCAGCTACAGAAGGCGCTTGTTGACAGAAGCAGCCAAGCAACGGGATGTGATGCCGCTCTGCCAAGCTCTCCAGCAGCCACTGTGTGCACTTCTACAACTCTGTGTGTACGAAGCCCTACTGTTGTTGGAAATGATACTTTTAATGTATCATTAACTTTGTCAGCTCTCATAATGGAACCAAACGATGAATGGGGGAAGTGGTAGGACATTATATTTTCACACCTCCCGTGATTCCCTGCAGTGACACTAGACTCCATCATTCTGAAAGTGCACGTGACATGACGCACAGTACTTTCTATGAACCATCACCATCCGCGCAGATGTCACACACAGATGTGTAATCCTCCAGTCAATTGTATTTCAAAGCGCCATTGTTGCACAGTGGTGGTTCTCTCCATGTTATTGTGTTGATAAAGGTCAGATGATTTCACTTTGCAT